TGCGCGCCGCCGGCGGCAGAAGGCTGCTCCCCTGCCCCTCCTGGCCCCACACACCACACTGTGCCCCAAAAGCAGCCAGCAGCAGATTCCCAGCGCTTGGGGCAGGGACAGTACATGGAGCCCTGTGCACTCTCCTCCCTCCCACCTAGGAGCTGGGCCTGCTGCGGCCACTTCTGGGGCGCAGCGCAGTCTGGGGTGCAGGACAGGCAGAGAAGCTGCCTTATCCCCCCGCACTGCTCACCTGGCCCCCCTGCAGCACCAAGACCCAGGGCCCGACACTCCATGGCCCAGTCCTGGGTTGCACCCCGGTGTTTGAAAACCCCGGCTAAAAGGGATTAAGCCCTGATTCAGCATCACATAGAAAACATGCTTAAAGGTCAGGCTGTGAGCATCTAGTGCCATATTTCTACAGGGAGTATTCAGGTGCCGTGTGGAGCGTAGACGGAGAGTGCCCTGAAGATCCACAGAGAGCTGCTTTACATCCACAGCTCTTTTTTGCAGATACAGCTGCCGATGCACATTTTGTATCGAGACCCCAACAAATCTGCCGAGATCCGCTTTATATCTGCAGGGATCCGCATCTACCGACGGGGATGCAGATCTCCCCGGCCAATGGTCTCTCTCTAATTTTTTCCGTCCATGTGCAAAATAAATTTTGTTCCGTGCACCGAGGCCTGTGCACCACCAGGCTAAACACATGCTGCCAAAATGTGGGTGCCCGGCTAAGAGGCATTTGACTCTTTCTTGGATGGCCAGCCAAGCCCTCAGCTTACAGGGAACACGGTCTGCAGCACATTTTTGTTGATACAGATGCGGATACACATTTTGTATCCGCACAGGGCTCTCCAGATGCAAGGATGGTGAAGCCCAGAGGTGAAAGGAAGCGGGTGCGGGGTAGCGCGCAGCTCTAGCAAGAGCTGGCTGAGTTGCGGGAAAAAAAAAATTGAAAGAGCTGGCAGGGACCTGGGTTGCAATAGGACCGTACCTATAAGAGATTTTAAGTGACTTTCACCCCCTGGTGAAGCATAAAGTCAACACCCTCCCCCAAATTGTGCTGCAGTGTCGTCTACCAAGGTGTCACTGTTTTGCCAAACACTTTGCCACAACAGTTTGCGGCAGGGGGGCAGGGTGCCTGGGCATGTCCGATTCCTGTGCTTTTTGTAAGGGGCACGCAGCAGGTGCAGTGCAATCAAACCGGAGCGTATTCCTATGCCTGCCAGCCGGGTACCGTGCCATGAATTCCAAGCCACAATCATTTTGGTTGGAGAGACAGGTTTGCTCTCCTGTCTTCTGGGCCGTTTGACATTCTGCATCCGACCTACGCCGCAAAGCTTTCCTGGGTCACAACGGTAACGTTCCTGCTGTCGGATGCGCCCGACTCATTCGGAGGAGATAGGTCTGATGAGATCTTGGGGGAAAACTCCTTTCTGTACGAAATCCTGGTTCACCTTCCAGTCGCTCTCTTTGAAGCCTGTCAGAAATCCTTCTGCCTGGAGAGGAAAAACAAACTGTGGGTCAGTATTGGTCGGAAGAGGGGAGGAGGAATTTTAAGGCCAAGTGGCAGCAAAATGTTCCTGGCAGTCAAATCTGTTGAGCTGTGAAAGTTTCCAAAATGTTGGCGGCTAAGAGGCCCCATTTAAAACAACATTAGACTCAACCCAATTCCCCTTAATTTTAATGGGGGTTTCTGAATCGATCCGCCAGCTCTGAAAAGTGTCAGCGTTAACACTGCACAGCTCTTTAGCTTTCCCCTTTTCCTCACAGCGGGTATGTCTACACCGCAAAGTTATTTCAAAATAACTTTCCTAGCATCTACACAGCCATTCCCTTATTTTGAAATTAATTCGAAATAGCGGCGGACTTATTTCAAAATCGGTAAACCTCATTCCACAAGGAATAGCACCAATTTTGAAATTGCTATTTTGAAGTAAGTGCTGTGTAGACAGTTATTTCAAAATAGGGGGCCTCCAGCCCTTCCCAGGGTGCCCTGCTGTTCTCCCTGGTCACAGGGCAACTTCTGACCTGATGCCCTGCTGAAACTGGTTCCAAACAGCCTTAAATGCGATTCACCATCTACTAAGTGTGGATGCGCAATTTTGAAATAGAAAAACGCTATTTCAAAATGCATTTTGTGTGTAGACGCGTTATTTCGAAATAAGCTATTTCGAAATAGCTTATTTCGAAATAACGCTGTAGCGTAGACATACCCAGAGACAACAAACACATCGATTCAAGGTGAAGGAGCCAACTGATGAGCTGGAAATCTTAGAAACCAGTGAATATTATTGCCTTTTTTTTCCTGCCTCAAATCAGGCTGAAAAGTCCAAAAAATAAAAAATTGGACCAAGTCGATTTCAACTTTTTAAAAAAGCTTTTAGTATAAATTAATTACAATTTCAAAACAAAAAGTTGGTTTGTCCCAGAAAACAAAACTTTCCATTTAGAAAACATTGAAGTGGGTAAGGTTGCCAGATGTCCGGTTTTGAACCGGACCGTTCAGTATTTGAGTTTTCTGTTTGGGAAACAAATTGAGAAAACAGAAATGAGAAAATAGAAATGTCTGGTATTTTCTAAAGAAGATGTAATGTAGATTGTGAGGTAATGTCAAGTATGTTCGGTATTTTTTTTTAAACCACCTGGCAACCCTAGAAGCGGGCCCTTTCAAAGTCCCGCCCCCCCTCCGTTTTTTTCCTCTTCAGATTTGTCAAACCAACCTCTCTCCTGTGAAAAATTTGTTTCTGTGAATCAGCAATGTCTGATGAGGGGGGAAACCTATTTCATCGGAAAATTCCCAGCCTGTGCTACCAAATTGCCTTTCAATCTCTTCACCAACAGGAAGTAACTTAAGCCTCACCAAGGAAACAGGTCCCTCAGAGGAGGAAGGAGCTGGGAGATCAGTTAATGAGCAACCGAAGGGCTGCGGAGGGTGGAAGAGAAACGATAAACTGATGCATGCCTTCTTACAGCGCTGTAACCTGCTGCGCTGGTATGTGTGTTTTTTAGGGTTGCCAGATGGTTTAACCAAAAATACCGAACACCTCTGCCACCCCCCAAAAAAACACCAGGAAAAAAATTTTGTTGAGGAAAAAAAAGGGGAAGACCAAAGTTGTTGAGCAAAAAAAGGACCCTGACAGCAGTTATTAAGGAAAAAAAAAAATCAGCATGGCTCCTTTAAGAGGCGGCAGTCTGGGGGGCTCAGTGGAGGGGTCCTACTTTGAAGTAGGAATAAGACACTCCGGAAAAGGGCACTTTTTCCGGAGGATTGGGGCCAGTGTAGACGCTCTTTTCCGGCTTTTTTAAAAGCCGGAAAAAAGCGGCGGACATTTTTATTTAAATGCCTTTTGCACCAATGAAACTGGCTTTTAAACGGATGTGGACAGCTGACAACCGTAGTGTTTTTTCACACGCAGAGTAAGAAAGTTCCAGCAACTTGCCAGTGTAGACAAGCCCCTAGAGCGGATGCAACTTGTAACAACAAATTGTGGTTTTGCTACTCTAACGTATCGCAGTGCCCCTCTCTCCCCGTGCGAGAAACAAGTGAAGTCTTGCTGGTATACCTGTAGCTACACCAGGGCCTGCAGCTGGCTGTATGGGTCACAAGTCACACTGCCGACTGACACAGCTATGCCAGCAAACGTTTCTGGCATAGATCTGGCTTTAGTCAACTAGAAGCAGGTTTAATTAAATCAAATCAAGAACATCCGCACCCTGCCTTTTGCACCAATGAAACTGGCTTTTAAACGGATGCAATTGAAAGTTAGACTGGGAAGCTTTTGGACATAGACGAGCACTTACCTACCGAGAGAAGAGACAGCAACCAGATCATGTCAGGTGGTCCCATGTACACACTAAGTAGCAAGAGGAAATTGCTACAACATTCCCAAACTCTTCCCCCATGATGGAAAAGTCAGGCCCCGTTAATTTTTTTCCCCCTTTTTTTTTTTAACCAAAACTTCCCGGGGTTTTACAAAAGTCATTATGGTTGGGGTTTTTCACCCACATTTTCAGAAGTGCTGGAATTCCCCCGCCCCGCCTCCCCGCTCTGGAACGAGACATGGCGGCTCGGCCTTACCTGGGCCTGCGATTCAGACACCACCAGAATGACCTCCCCTTCCTTGAACTGCAGCTGAGTTTCGTCGTCCGACGCGTGAGCCCCGATTGCTTGAGCCTGGCGTGCGAAAGACGGCGTTAGCGAGGCGGTTCCTGCCTCGGCGCCACCGCCCCACCCCCGGCAGCAGGACAAGAGGGTCCCCAGTGGAACTGGGATGCGTATGTTGTATCGGAATGCCGCTATTGGCTTGCATCCCACACCCAGCATCATGGTGTAGTGAGCAGGTCCTTTTCCGAGGGCACCTCCAGGGGACGGTACATACACAAACCAGACTGGGATGGCTGGTCGTTAACATTATTTCGGGCACCGATGCCACAAAAATAACTCAGCGCAAGGCAGAAATGTTGGCCAGGGGCACCTGTGGCTGTTTTTTAAAGTTGCTGTAGAGCGGGCAGGTGAAAGCAGCAAGGGAATTCTACAGGGCTCACCCCACCTGCATGTCCCAAAATCGGAGTGTGGAGTATTAAGATCCCCTAAAACAGGAAGGGGTGCGGGTGGGGGTGGGGATGTCTCGGAAGGACTCCTCTTCTCTTCCCCCGTGGTTTCCAACAGTGAATTATCATCACCCTGTTCCCTCTGCTTGCGTGTGATGTCACGTCCCCCTCGCTGACGTCTGCACTATGAGATTATCGGCTCCCCCCGGAAGGCGATAGTCTGCGTTTGCACAGCACCTCCCCCACCGACGCCTGTGGCCTGTCCCCTAGGCAATATGCATGATTAATTAGAGCAATCAATGTTATTGACAGAGGCCAGGGCTACTCTACGGAGTTGTGACCACATGCCTCTGTCAATCAGAGGTGTGAAAAAAACCACACCCCTGACCGCCACAGCTGTGCCGGCAAAACCCACTGGGTACAGGCGGCTATACCATGGAAAGCACCCTTTCGCTGAACGAGCGTCGGTCCATGTGTTTTTACTATACAGCTTGAACCTCTCTTAACGGTGACTCTCTGGTCCAACGGGAGCAGGGCTGCCAGCTGCTGCCCAGTGGCGACCCTGCCCAAAAGGGCCAGGAGATAGTGGGGCTGTCCAGTGGGGTGGTAGCTGGGTGGGAGGCTGGCAGCCAGGTTATGGAGCAGCGGGGCAGAAATGACCATCTCTGGCTGGCGAAATCCCTCATCCAGGACCGGTCAGGTCCCGAGGGTGCCGGACCAGGGAGATCCAACCTGTACTTGGAAAATAACTCGAGTGGGCCACAAACCAGCAACATTCTTTTGCTGAAGATCGGCCTTTGAATCAACCCCAGCGGCGTCATTATTGGGAATTAGGCATTAGAGTAGCCCTGAAAGGCCTCAAATGGGATTAAACACCCCCCCGGTGCTCGGAGCTGCACAAATCCATAGTAAGAAATGGCCCACGCAGTCTAAATAACCCATGAAACCCAGCTAAGACAAAGGAGGGGAGAGGAAAGAGGCAAAATTCAACTTATCCAAGGTCACACATCAGCTCAACCAATGGAATCCTCTTCTCCCAGGCCTGCAGTCCTAGCCGCCAGCCCGTGGTGTCCACACGTGGCTGTTTGGCCGGTTGTGTGTGGTTAATTGGCTATATTCAGAACTGGTTGGACACCACAGACCCAGCTTTCTGCTCAGTCCGACGTCTCAGCAGCCAGTAGGTGTTTCTTACCTTGAAGAGGAAGCCGAGAGGCAGTCCAGGGCTGCTGCTGCCCGTTTCATCCTCTGGGGTAAAGCCAAACATAATCTGAAAGCAGAAAGACAGTGAATGGGTCCAGTTACTCTAGCGCCTTTGCTCACGCATGGTGCTATTCCTTTGGCTGGCCCTTTGGGGGCCCAGCCCCAACAGAAAGCAGTCTAGCAAAATCACAGCTCCCATTGGCCAGAAACCAGCCAATAGGAGCTGCAGGGGTAGTGCTTGTGAGCGCGGGAAGCCCGTGGAGAGGAGACCCTCCCCCTAGGGGGCCATATTTCTATCCTTGCAGAAGAGGAACCTTGGAAGCTGGGAAATTTGTTATGTATTTTGCCAGGCCCCCTGGCTGTTCAGCTGCAAAGGATTGTGTCTGTCGCTACCATAGATCACTGCTCCTGATTCAGGCCCTGGTTGTCAGTAACATTTCTAGCACGCACAAGGACAACGAAAGCAGGGCAGCTTCTCCAACAGCCCCCGTTTCATCGGTTCCTTGCCCGTTCCTCCCACAGTCCAGCAGATACCCGCACCGACTTCGCTTCCGGCCAGCGGTCAGCAGCCCTACCCTGCCACCACGTTCATCCTGTCATCTCTTACCTGCGTTTCCGTCCTCTTTGGGGAAAAGTCTAGTTCTTCCATGCTCCCCTCGCTGCCACCGTCCTCTTCAGCCTCCCTGCTCGACTGGCTAAGGGTCCGCTCAGGCTTGGGCGGTGGCCGATTCTGGCCAGTGGCATCTGGCGGACCGGAGCCAGAGGCGTGGGCTGGGTCTGGGTGGACTTCAACTGAGGTGGGAGAGGGAGACTTTTCGCCAGGAGGGTCCGTGGCATTTTCAGGGCAAACTAAAACCTCCCCGAGGGGCATCCCGTTGTCTGGCTGACTTGAGTCCTCCTGCGGAGCTGGGGGTCGGGCCTCTTCCAATGGCTCAGTCTCCTCTCTCATGTCAGATGCTTGCAGAGATGGCATTTCATTGCCTGCTCGGGGCAGAGAGCATCTGTTTTCTCCCTGCTGACTGTGAGCCTCGGTCTCAAGGCTGTCAGGACCGGGGGCCTGCACGGATGCCCCCTCAGAGGGCACGGGAGAGGTTTTGGCCTTGGCCGCTGCTTCTGCGAGAGCTGCGGCCAGAATTTCCGCTGCTGCGGCAGCCGGCACGTCTTCAACCCCCCGACGCAGCCTCTCTGCTTCCCCCCCCGGCTCCTCT